AGCAAATGCTCTTGGGAAGGCTGAATCTGATCCTCTTGTTTTTGATCCCATTGAGATTGGTAACTATATTCCTCTTAAGCTTTAGTAGTACATACATCTGCAGCTTCTGTGCATATTGCTGAATTGGCATATTAATGTTTCTTCAGTATAAAAATTAACACTGCCAAAATATTGTTGATTAGAACTTGAACTGTGCTGGACAAAGTTAGGGAAGGTGAGAGATTTGATCAGTGTTCAGATAGCAAGTTCTTGTTAAGTAATCTGCTTTAGAAACTGGTGTGAATCATAGAATTGTAGTAGCAGCCATTTGGGCTTGTGAGAGGCCTTAATGGTAGCGTTACAGCATAGTGTACCAACTGCTACCGGCATGATAAAATAATACAGCTGTAGAGTTGACTCTTAACTTCTTCTCTTCTAGTTAAACCTCTGTCTCCACACAACTTATCAGTCAAGTCAAGAATACTGCCTACTGTTCTGAAGCTTTCCTGGGAGAACCGGATTTCAGCAGCTGTGATGAAACTGAAATTCAATATTCGCTATAGGATCATTGGTGAAACAAATTGGATGAAGGTAATACAAGTAATGTCCCTTGTCACTCTTCTGCTGTAACCCAGCCATTTGTCAAACTGTTCAGAGTGTTCACTTTATCCTTAGGACTTATGTGGCCTCCTAAGGTAGTTTATCTGGCCTACTCATGAAGGCTGTGAGCTAGCCTTTTTGGCAATCTAGAGTACAGTGACTTTGTCTTTTCTTTGTGGACTTCTCTGCTCTCCTCCCCTTCATGTTGCAGTATGTTTATTTTGAATTTTCATTCTGTACATGCAATATCTAGAACATTCATGAACTTCGGTCTTCCCATGCGCATGAAAAAATACTGATCTAAATGTCATTTAAAGCTTGGGCAAATGCTGTGTTGGGATGCTTCTTTGAACTTGCTGTACCTTATACAGTATGGTTGTCCTGCGTACATGCCTTAAGCTTGATGCAATCAAGGAACTGGAAAAGAGTAAGGAGTATGCCTTACATGTAGTGCATGTCATCAAGAGGGTTTTTTTCTGCATCAGTTCATGGACATATTTTCAATAGCTCCTCAGTTTTGCCTGCTTTTAAGCCCTCTCTCAGAGCAGCAGTATTTCAGAAACACTTTTTTCATCAAGATCTTCCCATCTTTTGTTTCCGTACATAGGACCAAAGGTATTCTGAATTTTGTGTTGGAAGGAAGACTACTTCTGACTTGCCAAAATATGGTGTTTGAAGCAGATAGCATAACACAGCTGCTTGTGACTAATGCAGTGTATTCCTTTGAAGGAACTTTTTGAGCTTTACATGCAGAGATTAAATTAAGGTCACTTCTATTCATATTTTATAGAGCACTGTCCTGCACAGCTTATTCTGCAACTCCAGAATCTTGATACGTTGTCCTATTAAGTCCTTTTAACTTGTCTTCTCCTTTTAACGTATGCAGAAGGCCATTGAAATAGTAACTTTTAAAACAACTGAGCTTGCTTAGCTGTGGTAAAACTTGACTAGTTTCTTCAGCTAGAAGACAAACCTATTAATCAATACTTTGGCAATTCTTTGCACTCAGAATTAACCTCTTAAATGTTCTGCATGTGTGTTTAATCTGCAAAAAAAAAAAAAAAACCACACAAAACCTGAAAAACAAACAAACAAACAAACAAACAAACAAACAAAACCCAAAAAAACTCACCTTAATTGCAAGTGGAATAACATGTGATGGAGTCAGTGTGTGTATATACATATATCTATATTATCTACATAACATATCTGTTTCTGTACATATGCAGTAAGAATATTTTCTGGCATTCAGTTGCTAGTCTAAGAGAAAAAGGAAAGAGCTTATGGAAATAAACTCATTAGCAAAATTCTAAACTATTCGAAAGTGAAGGTGTGAGACTTCACAACAAACTATTTCCACTGTCAGTTAAGAAACACTGTTCTGTATCACTGGAAGAAATGATCCTGAGTTCTCTAGCTTTATAGGAGGCTTCTAGCACAGGTATTTTGCAATGAATAATCAGGCAGATACCTAGCAAAGCTCTGAAACACGAAGCAGGGTATTACAGATCAGTAAGTAGAGGAATTATATGGGAAGGAAGAAACTTTGTATTACTTATGCTTAGGAGAGGTAGACATAAACTGATTAAAAAAGAAAATGGAATATGAGAGAGTGTCCTGAGAGAGCTGCTTACCTATTCTAGTGTATGTATTGTGTTATACCTGGTAAATACACACACTATGACTGACTCCTTACCAAACAGTGGTTGAGAATTGAAGCTTTTGAAAATAGAGGGGAGAAACAATGTTGTATTGGGTGTGCAATACAGGGTTTAAGCTGTTTGCAGTGGGGACCCCTCTTGGATGGGAGCTGTAGTAGCACAGAACTCAACTTTATACTTTTTGATCAGTGCCTCTAAAATCTTCCTTCCATTTACAGGTTCCTCCTGAAGATACAGCTTCACCAAGAACTTCATTCAGTGTTCAACGACTCAGGCCCTACACAGAGTATGTCTTTTCAATTCGTTGCATGAAGGAAGATGGAGTGGGCTACTGGAGTGACTGGAGTGAAGAGAAAACTGGGGCCACCACTGAAGATAGTAAGTAATATATGAAAGTAGGTCACACTTTCAAAATGTGAGTGCTCAGCAGTTTGGCAATAGCCAACTGAAATTGTGTATCCTCACTCAAGCTATTTGATTATACATGCAACAAGGCTCTCCTGAGTTACTTTCAGTACTGACTGACTTGATCCATGCCTTCCAAGGAGCATGAGAATAGCTTCCCATAAAGTTAAATAGGCCAGAGGTGCTCCCGGAAAATAGCTAAAACAGGAGGTAGGGAAGAAACGCTTTCTTCACAGGAAGTCATATTCTCAAAGTCTTTAGGGGAGATGTAGGCTTTATGTTTGTACCTCCTTTCAAGGGCTTGGCTTGTTCTGAATTTATCCTCTGTAACAGAAGCTATTCTGCCTGTGAGAAAGGCAGTCTGTCTACCAAAAACTTAGTTTAACAACTTGGGGTTTAGGAGGCCATTAGAAAGTTGAACAGGTGAAAGGTGAACAGGCATCAATAAGGATGAAATAAAGATTCTAGTCGTATAAGGTACGTAGACTTCTTCACAAACTTGGTAAAGCAAAGATAGGAAATAATATGCATATGGGAAGTGTAATCTTGTTCACCAAAGCATTTAAATTAAACACTCTGGCTTACTGTTTTTCCCAAGTCATTCTGCATATACAACACTTTCTTGCTTGTCACAGTGTCACTTACAGATGCCTTCTGCACTGTCTTGCACTCACTCGTTTACAATATTCTACCCACAGTAATCGGATTCTTGCTGCTCATCACTGATATGGTCATCACTGATGTGGGAGGCATAAGAAAGAGAATGCCATGTATAAACCGCTGACTTTAAGCAAGATTGAATGTGTGGAAAATGGTTTTACTTTGGCTATATTCAGTCACAAAAAAATCACTGTTTCATTACAATTTCCCTTCTTGATGACACAGTCATTGGGATTGTCATCTTGTAGATCTGGACTTACAGTATCCTGTCCTTTTGCAGTAGGGGTGAACACTGAATTGCTGCTATCATGATTTAATGAGGAAAACTTTTTACCAGCAGCAGCTCTTTGGGGGCACTGTTTGGATCATGTTTAGTCTTGCACAAAAGGATTTTGCAAGCAGGATATATACAACTTCAAAGTATAAACCAATTCTTAAGATACACTAAAGATAGCTAGGACTTAGCAAACCACTAGGTTAAACTTTAAGTTCACAGCCCTGGAAGAAAACTGCTGAAGAGCCTCAGTCAAGTGTCAGTCTACACTGCTTTATGGAACAAATCCTCAGCATTGTGAAGCTGCTGCTGCCATGCACCAAATCTGTTCACGCTACAACCAGCTCATCAACTTGGCTGACCTTTCAACTCCTTGTGACACTCCAATCAGCTGTAATGACATTCTGTTTCCATTGAACTGTATGTTCTGCAGGTGTGCTGTTTCATCCTGGACTCATTAATATTCCTTCAGGGACAATGGCACTGTTATTGCACTTAATGTCTTCTGCTAAGATCTGTATGACTACATTCAACAGCATGTTTAATTTCATCGGTTGCTTCCTGTTGCTCATGAATACATGCATTGCTTGAAATGTACTGTGGTATTAAAGTAACTACAACTGCGTTATGAATTTAATATACTTTATAGCTCATGGAAGTCATTACAGTATCTCTCACTAGTGAGGCTCTCCTGCAAGTTTGTCTTTACAGAAATTGTGCCTTCTGCCACTGAGTTGTGCCAAAATCATTAGTTGAATATGTTTAGCATTTTCTGTTACTGATTTTTTTTTTTTTTGGCTGTTTTGTAGCATTTCATGACTTAGCAACTGTCGCAGCAACTGTAAACTCATACAAAGTAAAGTTGCACAACTATTGAGTAGTAATTATTAGAACACTGACATTAAAATCACACCCATGCATTTGTTACAGTATGAAAACTCCTATTCTCAAATAGTGGATTACATTTTCCATTAACAGGAACAAAACTAAATGCAGTATGTATACAAACATAACCTAGACATATGCATTTGGCCCTTTAATTAGACAAACTGGGTTTTTAACAAGTTACATACTGCAGTATGCTCATCCATAGGATCCAAACCATGATCTCCACATAAAAGCACCATGCTTTGATGTATAACTAACTTATCTTTCTGTGGTCTATTTTCCTTTTGTCATTCATCTGAGTAGTCCACTTAGACTGAACTAATTTAAGATCTTTAATAGATGCCTTGAGAGGTGCTAACTGGTATCTTCTTGAATCTGAACCTCTGTTGGTGTCAGAATACCCTGTATTCTGTTGCTAAAGGTAAAAATGAACTAATTTTAGTGTGCGGTAAGCTGTTGGGGAATACCTGTACCATTAGCTGTGATAGACTGTATTTACATTTGCAGTGTGTTTTCTGCTGGTAGAACAGCATTTTAACAAATTATTGTAGCTAAAATTCCTAATAACAAGATAGTCACTCTCTTTCTGCATTGCTTGCTAATTGGTTAGTATTTTTTTGCTATTGTAGCAATAAATTGACAGTAAAATAATTTCCTGTTCTGAGTTTGCTTGCAGACAACTTCAGAGGTGTGGTCATGTCTTACAAATGCCTAGACACACTTGCAAAGTTATAGGCTAGTGGGATAACTTAAGCTGAAAAGGACGTCCAGAGGTCTCTAGTTCCCTGATCCTTTTTCTACCAAGTGTTGGGCTCAGACAGGGACTTCAGGTTGCAATATTGGCAAAACCTGTACCAGAATTTTATTTTATTTTTTTTTACTGTACAGTTGCCTATTGCAAAAATTTAAATGAAACAAGCAGACACTGGACACTTAAGTTACTCATACCATTGTTATTGCCCTCATAATCAAATTATAAAACTGACTTTTGGATGCTGTGCTTTGTCTAAGACTATATTAGATCCGTATCCCAGAATATCACACCTACTTGCCTTTTCCATTCAAAAGATGTGGTATTTGTCTCCAGAGCAAGCTATTGAGATACAGATGTATTTACCACTACTATATTCAGGAAGGTGTACTTCTATATTTCCATATGGTTTTATCCAAGTGTTATGTATATGTACTTTACTATCAAGTGAAGTTTCAACACAATTCTTAAATGCAAAGGTGCGAATGTACGATCATGATGCTGAACAGTAATGCAAGCATTCTAGCAATGTTTAAATCTTCTGTCATTTGTTTCTTGATAAGGATTAGGTACCTCCAAATAATGACTGTAGCTGAGGGTCTTTAGATATAGCAGAGCAGGCTTGCTGAGTAGCTGTGTATATTGCAATGATATACATTGTGATTTCTGGGGATTGTAAAATTAGTAAGTCACCCATAAAGGGATTTGATATTAAAAAACTTGTTTGGTTTCCTCCTAAATCAGTAGCAGCAGCATTGGGAATCACTTGCTGACTTCTGACTTTAAAGAGAATTAAACAATATTGGGAATTTAGAATCATAGAATGCTTTGGGGTGGAAGGGACCTTTAAAGGTCATCTAGTCCATCCCCCCTGCAATTGGCAGAGACATCTTCAACTAGATCAGGTTGCTCAGAGCCCCATCCAGCCTGACCTTTAATGTTTCCAAGGATGGGGCACCTACCACGTCTCTGGGCAACCCATTCCAGTGTTTCACTACCCTCATTGTAAAAAATTTCTTCCTTATATCTAGTCTGAATCTACCCTCTTTTAGTTTAAAACCATTACCCCCTGTCCTATCGCTATTGGCCCTGCTAAAAAGTCTGTCCCCATCTTTCTTGTAGGCCCCCTTTAAGTACTGAAAGTCTGCAATAAGGTCTCCCTGCAGCCTTCTCTTCTCCAGGCTGAACAACCCCAGCTCTTTCAAGCTTTTCCTTATAGGAGAGGTGTTCCAGCCCTCTGATCATTTTTGTGGCCCTCCTCTGGACTCTCTCCAACACATCTATGTCCTTCTTGTACTGAGGACCCCAGAGCTGGGGTTTTTTGGTGGTGTGCTTTTGTGGGTTTTTTGGTGGTTTTTTTTTGTTTTATTTTGTTTTGTTTTTTTAATGTCCTTTAGCCTTTCCTGCTTGCATTCTTCCTGGTCTCCTTTCTGTAATATCCTATCTGTTCCTTTGTGCCTTCCAAGGCACCCTCTTATAGACTTAAACAGTCTATATAGTTCAGCATTTCAGTGCATCTGTCTCCTAAACAGAGTTAAACCAATACAGGTTTCATATTGTCAAAACACCACTTTGTGCTTGGAGCTTAACTGCACTGGTTAAGAAATCCTTCCTTATTTATCTTAATTGAGTTACCAATGATGAGTTTTGATTGAATTTACATGTCATCTTATTTATATTGGATAAGTAAGAAAAAGACTGTAGTATATACCCTGCTTGTTTAAACAAAATGGAATTTGTGTACAAAATGGCATTGTTTCAGCTCTACTCAAAATTTTTCTCTGAGGGGGTATTGTAAAAATATTCTTTCAATATTCTAATCACTTCTTTTCGACTCCTAATGACAGTATGGTTGTGGGTTTTTTGGTTGGTGTGTCATCCCATTGTTGTCCCCTGCCCCCCCCCCCCGGGTTACTATCTCAACCTGAAGAATGAGGATTTCAGGACTGCCCGCTTATTAGACTGCATTGCTGTTCTGCTGCGGTGACTGGCTCTGCAAAAATACTGCTATTGGTGATTAAGTATCCACATCTTATTTTAGCCTCAGAACAAAGGTGTTATGGTAGGAAATGAACATGAGGCAGGTCATGTTGCATTCATCATCTTATATTAGGCAAGATGTACAATTGCTTCTGTCTCATGTGAATCGAAGTGGTGTACTCCAATGAGATTGTTAAGAAAGAGCTCCCTTTGCCTCAATTCCCAGTTCTCCTTCCCTCCTGATATAAAACATAAGAGACAAGATGCACCTTCTAGACTTGATAGTGCTTTTTGGAGGTAAAATAGCCAAAAACTCGTAATGATTAACATTAAAAATGCAATAAAAGAAGTCCTAGAGAAAATAGTCTAGCAAGATTATAAATGTAAGTGTGTTTTAAGATAATCTTTCTTTCAGTTATGGCTAAGGCCCTTGCAAAGGATTGGCCACTCTTTTGCTTTATACACTGTAATACATCATTGATTCATTCTACTTTGAAATGCAATTTTAGTGGAAATACCACTTGAATTTTTTACAGTACTGACACCAGAAAGTATTGTAGCATTGTACAAAAGTACTGCAATTCTGTTACCCTTTTTAGAATAAAGGATATAGGAAGCTTGGGGAATTCTGACAGAAGCCTGTCTCCTCGTTAACTTTTCTGCATTTTCCTTTTTTAGGACTTGATGATGAGGGGTGGGAAGAGTGTTGTAGCTACAGGCCATAGCAAAGTTTGCAGTATACAGAAGTGCAGGGCAGTGCCTCTGGACACATGCTGCCCAGTGTAGGTTTGGTTGTGCCTCACTCAGCACTGTCGTGTTCAGCCTGTTATCACAGATGCTCCGCATGGTGACACTCAGTTATTTTGATATTGTGCACTTAGAACAGAACTGGTGTTTTGCTCATCCCTTCAGGAAACCTTTCTATGGAGGTGTTCCACTTATTGTACCAAGCATTATTTCCTTCCGAGGAACTAAGGAAACCTTTTTGTATATGCTTTAAAAAAAAAGGCAAGCAGCTAATGGTAGTCAAATGATTAATTCAGACAGAATAAAGAAAAATATTTCTACTCTTAAGTATTGTCTCTTTCATTAGAACCATCTAAAGGACCACCCATATGGAGGATCATTGATGCATCTCGCTCGCCAGCTTCCTGGACTGTGCATCTGATGTGGAAGGTAAAGCAACATGATAAACTGCAGGAATTGAGCATTCTTTTACAAACATGGGTTTTTAAGCAACAAAATTTATCTCAACGAGCTTGAGTAGATAGCTGGGATAGTACAGGTTTTACTGATACAAGGAGTGACTTTAATTTTTCATAACTAATTATTATAATAAGAATACTAGTACAGATGTAAAGGCCATCAGTTAACTGACGCACATCTGTGATCCAGAGTATACAGAATCCACTTTCATATTCCCAACCTGCTGTCCTTAAGTAGTCTGTGGAATTGGAAACTTTCACTTGAACAAAGTAAACCTTCATGTTATGCCTTCTGCTGTATCCTAAAACTTTTGTAACACTGACTGGACAAGGATACTCTAGCTGCAAAATCCATTAAGCCTAGAGACATTCCAGAGGCCAAACTTATTAAATATAGCATTGTGTGTTTGCATGCAGTAGGTTGCTGTGTCTAGTTGGCTGATTAGTCCAAAGCTGAGAAAGTGAATGCAATTATGGCCAGTCCACATCTCCTGCTTTCTTCTGGTCTGTGAACTTTGTGTCACATTTGATCTAGCTGTCTTTTTATTATTATTTTTTTTTCCCTATTACTAGATGGCTTGGGTGAAGTTACATGTATATTGATATGGCATCATTTTCTGATGTAATTCATATGTCACTTCTGACATTATTAATTAGCTGAGATTTAGAAAAGTGGTGCTACTTTACAGCTTACCCTTTTCAACAATTTTCTGTAAGTTACCTGAAAATTAATACTGTTACAGATAATACAGAAACAAGTATTTTTCCAGGCTGTTTTGCATTCAGGTTCATCCCAGGTTATGACATGAGATTCCTTTTATGTCACTGTGTTGTAAAGTCACACAAAACACAGGTTTCATCCACACATGTTCTGCAATCTTGACAGAAGAGCTTTTATTAGACTACTATATAGGATTGTAAGCTAAGAGAAAGAGGATTTAAACCAGAAATAGTTCTGGAAGTTACTGCTTTAAAGAAATGAACTCTGAAGTTGTTTGTCCTTTCCTTACGTAGGTCAAATAGCTGCATATTTAACTTGTCTTGCTCTGAGATTTTTAAATTATGCCTCAAAGACAGTAAAGTTTAATCTTGCAGTATGAAGTGACTGTCAGAGCTAAATCATCTCTCTCTAGTCCACCAGAGAAATGCAATGTTAATACTACCAACCTTACACTAAAGCTGCCAAATGGAACTTATGAAATTACTGTGATTGCCCATAACAGAGTCGGGGCATCCCCTCCGTCGATTTTACTTATCCCAACAAGTAATTCAGAAGGTTAGTATCCTAGTAATGTCTCTTTCAAATGCATCTGTGTGTCTTTTGTTATGAGAAATATCTTTAGTGTTGTAAAATTGTACCTTTTACATGGACGCATAATTGCAGTACTGCTGAATGTATCTCCACTCTTACTCCTTGTAATTATGCTACCACTTGTATATTGGGGAACGTGCAGATTTATGTACTCATAGGTTCATTTGAAGCTGTGTGTGCTATTTTGCTGTTCTTTTTGATCCTTAGAGTTACTATGCACTATATTCCCTATTGTTTTTTTCTTAGTATAGCAGGCACTTTTGTGTTCTTTTTTTAAATAAAATCAAAGGGTTGGGGAAGCAAACATCCTTTACTTCATGTATATACTATTCCATTATTGTTCTTATTCCTTCTGCTTTCTGATCCTCACCCCCCTTTCTTCTCTTGTCCCAATCTCACCCTTCCACACTTACAGTATCTTGCCTCTTGTCCTCTGCTTCCATTGTTTTCCTACTGTTTGTGTTCCTTTTTATCATGTTCCTTTCATTGTGCAGTAGTAGTAAATAAGGAGGAACCCTCCTGTAGTTCCATCCTCCTCTTAGACAATCCGAACACTACCAGTGTTCTGCTACCAAATCTGCTGCTTTTAGTGTAAACACCAAGGGAGAGCCACAGGCTCTAAAACTATTAGATGAGCTAATTAAGGGTATGTTTCAAACAGAGTAGCCTTGCAGCCAGAAGTACTTGGTAAGGTACATGAGTGTGTTCAGGATTAGAATGGGAATTTAGAAGTGTCTCAATGTTTGATTTCCCTCTGAAATAGACAATAGACCCTTTCTTTTGGAAGAAACATAGCATCTTTTTTACTGTGCAATAAGACAACTTACTGTGTTTGAGAACAGGGAAGCTGAGTCTAATTTCCAGTTTTTAAATCGCCTAATACTGCTTCATTTGGATGTCTGATACAAAGATTCAGATGTAAGCTTCCAAATTTCAGAAAATGGCTTTTACATTTACCTAGGTTCTGTCAAATCGTCACCATTACAATAACCAAAAGTATCCACACTTGACAAAATAGTTCTTATTATGAATATCCAGTGGAAGAACTGTCAATATTTATCACTTTTCTATTTTCTTTCATTACAGCTGCTGTGAAGAATATTAGAACACTACCTAAAGATGGCAAGTTGTGGGTAGGGTGGACTGCTCCTAACAATTATGTTCTTAAATATGTGATCGAATGGTGTCTGGTGTCCAACAGCTCAGACTGCATCATAGAATGGCAGAACGAACCAGGGAATGTTCAAGGAACATACTTAAAAGGTATTTAGCTTATAAGTCTACAAATATTTTGTAGAACACTCTAAAAACCTAATGAATATTCACATTTTAAATTCCTTTTATTAGGTGATATAAAGCCGTTCAAGTGTTACTTGATAACTGTATACCCTCTATATGCTGATGGTCAGG